CCGTTTCACGTTCGCTCCCGAAACAAATGGATTGTCCCCCCTCGTGCCGCGTGACACGTTGTGCAAACGAATCAGTGTTACCTCGTGTGCCTCCACGGTAGATCAAGTGTTCCTGCGAGCTCGTGGTGCGAACAAGTTGCCGCGTTACGCAACTCGTCCGTTCATTCGCAGCCACGCGGGAAATTTATTGGCGAACCAAACCGGCGGATCGCTTCCTCTCCGTCGTCTCCTGTTCACTGTCCCGCGATCGTTTTCAGGACGTGCTCGGTAAGTCGACGTTTAATATTTGACTAGATAAAGCCAGTTTGTTAAGCGGATGGGTAACATGGTAGAAGGACGCGATCTTAAGAACGCAGAAAGTGTAAAAAATGGCGGCTATTGTTTTGATGCGTGTTTACGCGGTTCTAGTGGCGCTGTTAGTTGATTTACTTAACCTTGCTCCTAAGACGCGAGTTTTAATAGACTGTTTGATTACGTTACGCAATAACTTCCGACAGTTTTACGGAGAACGTTTCGACGATCTGTGAAACGTTCCGTGACCTTGCTAGCTCGAGCAAATATCAACGTAGAAACATCGTTCGAACCGGCTAATTGTGCGACGCGTACGTGCACGATCGTTCTTCTTTCGACTATTTGTAAAAAATATTACGCGACACGCAACGTCCCGAAGCGTGTCGAAGAAACGAGAACGGAGTATACATGTTCGATTCGTTATCGATCCAGCTCGAGCGTGCTCGCTCGTAGTTTCGATGGACCGTGTAAACTTTTGCATACCGTTGAACGAAATGCAGATAAAGCGTGCATGATCGATCACGGTGGACGATACGAGTTCGTTAAATCACGTGATCGCGCACAGGCGACAGACTTGTTTTGACAGTCATAGAAAGAATTCCGCCTGTTCGTTCCGGTCATACCGGTTCCCATCGTGTAAAGACTACGAAGGAGGCGTAGGATAGGATAACGAGAGCGAGAAAGACAGCCGGGAAAGGGTGAAAAAGAGAGCAACAGAGGATTCGAGTGAACGGGTCACTCGACGACAAGAAATCCGACGTGCGACACCATACGCTTTCCTCGTCGCGTCCCCTGAGATGATCGTGTTATATCGGCCGCCGCGCCGCTCGATTTTGAGGTTAATTCACGTCAACTTTTTTATCGACCGAGCGGAGGCGGGTTCGAACGTGTCTCTTAACCTGCTTTAAGTGCACTCTTCACAGACCGACCAACGTATACGAAACTTAACCTTTCAATTGAGGAATACACCAGTTAATTCCTTCTTTAAAATATACCACTCCCTTTTTATGTAAACCGATCATTTATTTATCCGTAAATTTCTCTGTATCGAGCTAACGTGGAAAAAAGATTAGATAAACGTGGGGTGGCCGTAAGTAAATGGCATACAGTTTAAGGATACGGAACTCGTTTAAAAAGACCTCTTCGCGGTAACTTTCCCGAAAGAAAAGTACGCGATGTAAATTTCGAAAAAAGCCCCGGCAAAGTTATTTTGTCACGGTAAATTAGCTTAAAAGCCATCGTTCTCCCCCCCTTCGAAGTTTCTTTTACGCCGCTTTCGGTTCACCGTGCTGGCAGCGTTCGCGGAACGAAAAACTCCCGTGGGCCGTTGCCTCGACGGAGATTGCTCGCGGCAGGGCAGCGTCTCTATCCACCACGGAGAGAGCGTCTAAGGTAGTTTGAATTCCAGACGGATTGTTGCGGTCCCGCGACGCGGGGGCTAAGTGAATCGCGGAGCGCGTGGAACGGTTTCAGTCAAGGTTGAGGCAGTTTTCTCGTTACTGAAAGTACCAGGCGATGTCCGTCGTAGAATGATTTAACGCGTCTCCTCGGCTGTTTCCCCATCTTTACGTCGTTGCTCGCGAAGGCCGCGGTGAATATTTCCGCTTCGATTTGTCTCGTTGCTGCATCCCCCCCCTCTTCCTCTGATTTCTCTCGTATCGTTCACATTCTCCGCGTATCTTAATGACGATGCCACCGTAATAACAGTAATGACGATACATCCGGAGTATGGAGACTGGACTCACGGGTTTGAGTAACACGGTTAACCTGTTAACCGTCGCTAGTTTCGATTAATGTCGCTCGTTGATCGAGTATCATCCAGTAACGGATTAGAATATTTTTTTAATGTTTCTTTTTTTTTTTTTAACAAAATAGTGAAATATCTACATGAGAAACGACGAGATACTACAGGGTGTCTCAATTAAAATAAGCTATTTAAATACATATCTCCTTCAGTTGTGAAGGTATAGAAAATATTTTACGTGCAATTTGACCGGTATCTAAGGACGAATACGCTGCAAAGAATATTTTTTCGAAATTCTCAAGGTCACCGATGATTTTTTGCACATAAATGCATATTTTTTTTTTCTCTTCGATATTGTAACTAAAATAAAATACGTATAGAGGTGTATAAAAATGTGACCTTGAAACGACCTTCGCCCTCGAAAATTTGAAATCTCTTCAGCAACGATGGAAGAAATATACTTTTCTGTTATCACAGTTGAAGAAAACATTTAAGCGTTATAATAATATTCATCCAAAGGAGCCAGTGGAAAAAGCTCCAAGCATGGTCCTACCTTATCTTTATCCACGCAACGTAAACGTACCTTATCGATCGTTTTGATTATACAAAACTATGTTAATATTTCCACCTGGGCATTCGGCGCAAGGCAAACACAGCTATCTTCCCTCGCCGAAGTATCTTCTTTTTTCGCGGGTTTCCACGTCTGCGTATCACTCTGTTTCTCTCCTCAAATAATTACAACGATAGTGACTCAGAAATGAAACGGACGAAACGTAGAGGAATCCTTCAGGTTAACATTGAAGTTCCTTTTTCTCTTCTCAATCGAACCAACAGGAAATTCGAAGGCGACAGGGTCACGTATCCGTTTGGAATACATGGATTTCTGTCCGCTTTCAATTTGAAATTAAGAGCGACCGCTTGTTATCGGCGGCCAGCAATAGGACAGCGGTGGCGTTTTCAGGTTACCGCACCTCGATTGTTCTCCAATTACCCGGAGCGTCTCCTACGTTGAATATGTATCGACGTTGCGCCGATATCGCGGCAAGAATGCCGCCGATGAATATACATAGAATCGGAGACGAGAGCGTTTCACCTCTTCGATAGGATATTAATTTGAAATTGGCTCCGTGTCCCGATATCCCTCCGATATCTCAACAAATCTATTCGTTTCTCTATTAGTGGGAATTATTCGTGGAAGAAAGTAGGGATGTACCGAGAGGGGTGAAATATATTTGGTTGGATATCTGTGCTTTGGGGTGCAAAAATGAAGTTTGTCGGGGGTAGGGGGATACACGTTTAA